GGAATCCATGCAGAGGTTGCCGTCAAATCCGGAAGTCTAGAGGCCACCACGTTTGATCTGGGGAGGATTTCCTAGCGCGTTCACAGCACCGATTCAAAGCCGAATTCCGCCAATACCTCGTAAGATAAACCAGATGATGTCGACCTCAATACCGTATTACACGCAAGAGGCGTGTATCTACAAGAGCTTCAGATCCAGCTTGGTTGGGCCAGCGTTGGATCATCAATCTGCCCAAAGGACAAATCCTGTCTTTTGCGCAGTTGCACGACGTCTTTGTACAGAAATTTTTCAGCAGCAGAGCTCCAACCAAGGTGTCAGATGACTTAAACGAAGTCGTCCAAGCCTCAGGGGAAACCCTAAGAAGCTACATGACGTGATTCAGTATCGACATTGTCATGGTACCCAACTGTAACGTTTCGACCGCACTTTCCGCTTTCAAAAGGGGGCTCAACAAGATGGGCATTCTGTACCAATCGCTCACAAAGTTCGCTCTCGTCTCCATAGAAGATTCAATGTTGAAAGTTAACGCAAAAATAAAAAAGATGAAAGCCGAAGGAAGACGGTGGAAGCTGCGGGGAAACGTGACCGAGAAGACAGTCCCATAGCGAAAGGAGCGAGAGGAGGAGAGATTCGTGATGGACCAGAGAACGAGGTTACAAGGACCACCACGACAGGCAGGAGAACAGAAGAAACGCCGGAGAAAGCGTATATGAAACAGTACATCTGACGGAAGACTGTCAGAGTGACTAGGAGGAGGGAGACCCAGAACCCTTGACTTTGATGGAAATGAGAGTAGATATTCTTGGAGTCTCATTGGTTTACAACCTTAGAGATCAGGGGGCCAAAAATCCAGTGGTCCCAGAACAGAAGGTAGGACGAGATGCCACATGGAAACGGGAAGTGGTGCGAGTTTGACCATAGTGAAGGGCACTCAACGGAAGAATATATTACCCTCCGGCTGGAAGTGCAAATGCTCCTTAAGAAGTGTTATTTGAAACAGTTCCTTTCGGAGAAGGCGCAGAGGAACGTGGAAAAATTGACTGGCACCCAGGCGACTGGGGGTAAGAAGATGAATAAAACCACACCCCCGAGCATAAGCAGGTGATCAATTTCATTGCTGTCAATGAAATGGATGACCTAGGAGCGTTCGCTTCCATTAAAGGGGAATCAGATAACATCAAGCCTCTGCATGTGGTGTTACCCCGAGGGCAACTGATCATCTTCGACACTGCAAGGGGAGAAGGGGGTTCAACCCATCAAATGAGGCGTTAATGATGACCCTACACATCTCAGAATATCTGGTAATAAGAATCTTGATCGACAATGGGAGTTTGGTGAATTTGTTGTTTTACCCTGCGTACAAAGGGATGGATCTCCCGCCGGGGAAGATAATTCCAAGGATTACTACACTGGTATGGTTCAACGGCGACTCTACCAGATCACTATGTGACATCACATTACCCGTGTTTGCTAACGGGATAACCAAAAAGACGACGTTCATGGTGGTAGATTTCCCTTGGGGATACAACGCCCTGTTGGGAAGACCTTGGATTCATTTTATGGAAGCAGTGCCATCAACTCTTCATCAAGTGGTCCAAATCCCCCAGAACGATGGAATCGGAGAGGTTCGAGGGCCACCGCACGTGACTCAGCTGCCGGCGTCGGTGCAAAAAGTGTCTGTAGATATGGTAACCCCAGCGCCATCATTAAACTGGAAAACTTGGCCTAGAAGCGGAAGCAGTAAAGGAAGGGTCTCAACCAAAGCAGAGGACCAGGTGAACCCCGGAGGAGACCCCGGATCTGGTGGATGAGCTCATGCAGAATCTGGACATAACATGGAAAGACCCACGAGTCACCGAGATCTTGACCCACAGGAAAGAGTTGCAGATATTTATGGGAAAAACTGGTGCATTCAACAGAGAAGAGAAATAGGAAACGAAGAGAAGAAATTGGAGAGCCAAGAGGTGCTTGTAGAGCTTAAGGCGCATCTACTAGCGCGGGCACTGCTCACACGGCCAAAGAAAAGGGAGCCACTGAATTTATTCCTAAAGTCACAGAAAAATCGGTTAGCTCGGTGATGACCCGGAAAGACAAAGGAAGGGCGCTACCAGTGTGTTTCACTAGCAAATTGCTAACAGGGAAGGAGGTGGGCCTGAGCCAAGAAAGGAAAATTAATCTAGCTATAACATCCGGATGCAGGAGAATGATGTCATACCTTTACCAACACCCCGAGACAGTGATCACTGAAGAGCCAGTGGGGAATGGGGAAATACCGCTGTCGAAATGAGCGAGTTAGCAGACTTGGCGGAAGAGTCGAGGAGTTAAGAATCAACTATGCGGTACACAATAACAGGGGGCTATTTTTGCCAAGAGAATTCACGGAGCCTATAGCGTCCGACTCGAACCTGGGAGTGTTGGATTCCATCAGCAGACCCAACACAGTGGACACCTACGGCGAAGTCATTCGAAACCTGCTCTCACGTTCAATTTTATCGTTATTTTGAATTATCATCGCTTATCCCTTTCGGTGAATGCAAGAATGTCCTGTATTCCCGAGGTCCAGGATCACCCGGGAAGGTTGAAACCCTTGTTTTAATGAATGAACATTATTGGTGTTGTTAGGTGTGAAGGAGGCATGAGAAAATACATTAGGAAGGGCGAATATGAAGATGTAGGATGAGAATGAGGAAGGACCGAGTAGCAAAACAGCATGAAACTGAAGGAAATGGTCTGATGAATCAGACATTGAACCTTCGGACCCATGGTCTCTGGTCATTCCACCCACGGTGTTTGACTCAGGCATCACGTCATTCTCCAGGTCATCTCGCCTACGGCAAATGACTCAGGTGTTACATATTTCGGACCCACGGTCCCATATCATTCCACCCACGGTGTCTGACTCATGCATCGCATCCTTCTCTCGAGTCATTTTTCCGATGGCGAATGACTCAAGCATCGCGTCCTTCGGACTCACGATCCTAGATCATTCCACCCACAGTATTTGACTCAGGCTTCTCGTCCTTCTCTCAGGTCATTTTGCTTATGGCGAATGACTCAAGCATCGTGTCCTTCGGACTCACAGTCCCAGTTCATTTCACCCACGATGGTTGACTCAGGCATCACGTTCTTCGAACCCACAGTCCTAGGTCATTTCACCCACGGTGTTTGACTCAGGCATCACGTCTTTCTCTCAAATCATTACGCCTACGGTGAGTGACTCAGACATTGTGTCCTTCGGACCCACGGTCCCAAGTCATTCCACCCATGATGTTCGACTCAGGCATCGCGTCCTTTTCCAGGCCGTTTTACCTATGACAAGTGACTCAGGCAACGCCCAATGAAGGGGGAAAGCATTTGTTCCCAGCAAGGATAACTTCCACTTCATGGGCTAGCTTTGCTAACCCGCGAAATGGTGGGCAAATTGTTGGGGATAAATTCAATCATTTTTACGTGGACGAGTCGCATGCTTGCACGTGGCGTCCATGGTTTTTTTGCAGGTACAGCCCCCTAGGCCAAATTAGGACACATATTGGACCGGAGGCCCAATACAGCCTTAGCTTATAGCACCGGGCCTCGAATTCATTTGGATACGGGAGATCCAGCACGATAAGCCACTTGTTCTCAGACTTCTCATGTCTGACAGTGCCACATTGTTAGAAACAAGGAAGTCGGAAACTGAGTGGTCAAGCAGAGGAGAGGCCACATTCTCTATGTCTTAGACCTAAGCTCGGTGATCCGGAAGGGTCGGGATATAAAGAATTTTTGTCCGCGCAGAAATACAGTGAGCAAAGTCATCCATTCTCGGCAGCCCGATCCCAGTATCAAGGGAATCGGGCCAGGTATGGGTAAACCTTCAAGGCTGGAACACTATCCAAATTTCCTTTCATTTGGCAAAAGGAATATGCCTTAGTCTGATTTAGTTACCCATACCCTTATAAGCCCACGAGATTGGCATTTAATGCATCTACCTTATGTGTGCCAGGTGACAGTAACCTTTCGCAGGAGCCAGGAAGAAAAGCAGAGGTTCAGCATAGTCCCATACCGTGTTTGAACCCCCTACTCGACTAGTACACTGGAGACGAAAAGGATGCGCCAAAGAATGGTCTCGCAGCAGGCAGAACACGCCAAAGAAAGTTGTGAGACCGTGAGAAGCATGACGCCATTACAAGATTCAAACCCAGTCAAACCGGGTCGTGGGCTGATCCACCCGACTCATTATCTACGGATTGACCCGATATACTGACCCGGGTCAGGTATTCTATATAAATATTTTGCTTTTTCTCAGGAGAAATAGGTTCACATCTTTAGCCATCTTAAATCTCATGATATCTCTCTAGATACTTGTGGTTCTTAAGTCTAGGTACTCGATACTTTTCCGGTCATCCCGCTTCATTCTTCCTCCATGGCGGTTCCTAAACCGTAGAAATTCTTCATCCACAAACTCTTCTTTTCTTCTCTTTCCACTTTAAAAAGCCCATTTCCATTTAAAAGCCCGAGCTGATGATATATTTCTCAAGGACTCTCAATCCAATTTCCTCTTATAATTTTCTAAGTTTTTTCTGTTCTCTGATTAACCTTTTGGTTGTCTTTTGAACTGTTTTCTAAATTACGGAAAGGTTTTGAAAAATATATTTTCATCATGTTTTCTAAGCCTTTATATATTTTTTATTTTGTAGGAGACTTGCTCGTACTCGAAAACTGAAAATCCCCTAAACACCTTCAATACCCAAATGAATGGTCCAAAGTATAAAAAGTTTGGTGTAAATTACATCGTTTAAAACGTAATAAATAACTATAATTAAAAGAGTATTTTGTTTTTTGCCAAAAAAAAAGAGTGTTTGTTTATTTGATGTCGAGAAAAGTGTGTCTAGTTCAAAAAATTAAAAAGCAATAAGCATTCGATTTTGCCTGCACCCCGATGCGCCATTCATAACGCGCCATTTCATCAAAACTACACGTGTAAGATTATCATTTGCTCCCTGAGCGTAAGCCTGCGTGTCAACATAAACTGCAAAACTTAATGAACATAATAGTAGAAGACGACGACCCTTTCTCTCAAAGCCGAGAATCGAATCGGCAAAGTTAACAGATTCGGCGTACCATCTACTTGTCTCCGGCGAGATCTCGATTTGATCCTTCACGGTGGCGTCGACGTCCGGGCAACAACAAGCTCTCTCGAGAAGAAAGCCGCCATCATCATCATTGTCTTCTTCATCTCCTCCTCCTTCCTCAGCTTCGTCTGTACGAACTCCTTCGGCGAGGAAAGCGAGTCCGGAATATCCATTTTGGCAGCAGAACTGGTTTATCGGTCTGCTCTTCTTGATGGCTTTGGGATTCTTCTGTCTCGCGATCTTCCTTTACCTAAGCCTCGATCCGGATTCCGGCTACACGACGTCTGCCTCCGCCGCTTCCTCTGGTAAAGAAGGTGTCGAGGTGTGTGTTAATCGCATTACTTTTCGAAGTCGCTAATCGTTTTGGATTGCGACGGACGTTGATTTATGTTTAAATTGTAGCGATAAGGTTTCGAAGATTTTGTTCGTGTATTGATTTTGCTTTCGATTCGAATTGAGTTTGATCATCTCCAAGAGATTTGATACAGAATTTTGAACTCTATGTGTTCGTCCTGGTGTGACAGATTACTTATGGTAGTGCGATTAAGCTGATGCACGAGAAAACTAAGTTTCGATTGCATTCTCACGATGTGCCGTATGGATCCGGCAGTGGTCAGCAATCAGTCACTGGGTTTCCAGGCGTCGTTGATTCCAACAGCTATTGGGTAACTTTCTTCTTCCTCGTATTGCCTTTGATTCTTATTTCTGCTTTAATGGTAGCTCATTTACAGAGGATCCTATATTATCATGTTACAACAAACATCAACCAGCATTTGTTAGCGTATAGATCTTTTCCTGAACCAAAGAAACTCTTGCACATGCTCTTTATACTGTTCATCTCACACTTGAAATCTAATGTGATTTGCTCTGGTGGAAATAAACGTTGGAACGAGTTATGGTGGAGTAGTTGAGCTGATGCATTATTTTGTAACGGATGTTTCCTTTGATAGATCGTTAAACCTGTGCCTGGGACAACAGTCAAGCAAGGTGATGCGATCAAGAATGGCGCAACCATTAGATTGCAGCACATGAAGACCAGAAAGTGGCTCCACAGTCACCTACATGCATCTCCTATATCAGGGAACTTAGAGGTTAGTATTGTCTTCCACTTAGTGTAAGTGCAACATACTTTTTATATTCCTTATCTGCTAAACGTGGATGTGAAAGATCTATTTAGAGTTTTAAATCAAACATTAGACTAGAGAGACTGCTAGATCGTGGAACTCAGTAGGGTGGAGATATTTTGTCACGGGTCTATGTGGATTGCGAAGTTCTATGCCGGGTTCAGTTGGTAGTTGCATTGTCCTTATTGCTAAACCCATTTTTTCTCGGTGCAGGTTAGCTGCTTTGGAGATGATTCAAATTCCGATACTGGGGATCACTGGAAGTAATAATCCCCAAAAGCAAATTTGATATCTATCTGAATATAAGTCTATTCACATCCACCTAAGAGCTCACTCAACTTACTATTTGCTTATAGGCTAATTATCGAAGGGAGCGGGAAGACATGGAAACAAGACCAAAGAGTCCGACTTCAACATATAGACACTAGTGGCTACCTCCATAGCCATGACAAGAAGTACCAACGTATAGCTGGTGGTCAGCAAGAGGTCAACTAAAGCCTGATCTCTTCTTGTCTAAGTCTTCGAAGATGATTGAAACTCATGCTTTAGATAATTATCCAACAAGATTTGACGCATTTTTTCAGGTCTGTGGAATCAGGGAGAAGCGGGCGGATAACGTTTGGTTGGCAGCAGAAGGAGTTTACCTTCCCCTCAATGAGAGCAGCAAGTAAATGTGAAATGTGTGTTAACTTCTCTGGAGGACTTTGGAATCATCTTTTACTCTCTAAACTCATAAACAAGAGAAATAGAGTTATATATTTTGCTGATTTTCAAGATCGAGAATACTTTTAGTCGCACGAATATATATTGTTTTGGTAGATGTTGTCTTTAAGGTTTTGTTGAGAATAACCATGATTTTATGAATCAAATATACCTTAACAATGAATGATTTCTCACACTCCTCACGACTCGTCTGAATTTGATTTAACGATCATGCTCACGAGTTTGCGTGTTCCCTAAGATCAATGTGATCTTAGATACCTCTCGGTAAGACTTGACTTGAGCAACTAAACCCTAGAAATGTTCTTACCCAAATCAATCGATAAAGAAGAGGGCTATTTGTTCTATTGTTTTTAATAAAATTACAAAATTTAGTAAAACGATTTCGAATGAGTTCGTGTATGGAAATTCAAATCATCAAATTAGCACACCTAAATTGTACAAACTTTTTTAGCAACCATTAGATCGGCCGTTTTCCCACAACTTTTTTAATAAGAGTTGCTAAATCATTTGTGACCCTTTCTTAAACTTTGACAAACACTTCATAAACCTAAATTTTGTGGTAATTTGGTTTCCTGTTTTTATCTTGATGATAATTTTAGTAAATATATGTAGAATATGGCATCTTGAAAAAATCCTAACATATATAATTTCTAATGAAATACATACACCTTTTTATTTTATAGTATATGATCCTCATAGTTAATAGGAATAAATAAAATCGACAACCAGATTTTTAGTTGGTCCGCACCGACCTCATGGACTTGTATGCATATTCGTTCATCATCAGTTGTAAACAATATAATTATAGAGACATGTTACATGTAATCGTTGATACCCTTGGTTCTCATCATCCATCAATAGAAAATAATACTAAGAATCATAAGGGCATGCCAATACAAAATATGCAATCAAAAATTCTTAAGTTGCCACATCATTTATGAAGCTAATTCCGTAAGAAAAAGAATACTAACTGTCCGAAGAGATCTTTCTTCTTAGGTTCATTACGATCCATACACGACCTACGACTTTTATTACTAATATACTTGTATGTCACCTTCTTGGTCTCATCTCATGAATAAGAATAACCATTCCTATCAATATGTTGCTTGAAACCTCAAACTACTTGCTTCTTCAAATGTAGCTATACTTTGAGACTTTATTAAGTAAATAGAAGATCAGTTCATCAGTAAATCAAACGACAATACAAGTAAGCGAAAAACTGTATATATAAGAAAAGAAATACAAGAAAATTACGTCCTCGCTTAAATCGTTTAGTCTCGTTCTTTTCTCTTTCCCTCTCTAGGTTTACCTTGCTGGATTTGAACCAAACTTGGAACATAATTGAAAAATTTTGCACTCCCTGATTTGTTTATAACTTCTCGTTCTCCAAAATGAAATTATTTGTATACTCTCCAATAACACAAATCATATTGTTGACGGTATTATCTGTTTGTCCGCCGCTATCACAACACACAACCACTTTCTTCTCCTCGTCGATGAATAAACTTGCAGTACCAGACGAAAACTGATGATATATAGACTTGGATAAATCTATAGCTAAAAGTTTTACGAAAACTGATGATTTATAGACCATTTGGATAAATCTATAGCTAAAAGTTTTCTCCACGACAAGTCTATGGTCTGATCAATCTTACCATTGGTCGTCACCCATATATCCATCTTGGATAGATCCCACTGATGTAACGGTGAGAGTTTCTCTTCTCTAACGGTTGATAGAGAGACAGTCGCACAAGAAGAAAATTCCTTAAAAGGAAGAGAGACGTCCAAGTCTCTCTGTTTTTTTTTTTGCTAAGCATGTTAATATCATTAAAATGAAAAGAGATTTTACAAAAAGCAGAACCTAAGCATGTACAACCTTGGCAAAAAAGAAATAAAAAAACAAGGAGGTACAAAAGGATTTGGGAAAAAATTGGAGAGCCCCAAAGTCACCGAAGCCAAAAAGACATCAAGTCAACAAAGTGTCTTCTATGTCTTCTCGCGTTGATAAAATTTCTGATCTCTCTGTCAATAAGATGGTAGATTGCTTCCGGAGTGAGAGAGATTTGGTTGTGAAGGACGTTGTTATGCTGTTTCCAAAGGTGAAAGATCGTTGCTTGGACCACTAATCTTCGGAGAAGAGAAGGTGTGAGGCGAGAGGAGACTCTGATCCAGGACAGGAGCTCATCCCAGTTGGTGCAAAAAATAGGAGGCGGATTGAATCTAAAGACAACCAGCCGCCACACTTCAGCACTGTAATCGTAAGTTAGGAAAAGGTGATCTCTGGTTTCTACTTCAGTCGAGCAAAGGCAGCAATGCGAAGGAATATTCATGCCCCAAGAAATCAGTCGATCTCTAGTAGGCAGGCGATTTTGATTGGCTACCCACATCGTAAAAGCATGCTTAGGGATGAATCCCTTGAACCAAATGAGAGGAGCCCAATCCTTCTTTGCATCTCTTGGTCTAATGGCATTCCAGGTGTTTTTAGACGAGAAAATCGAACCACCCTTGCCATCAGCAACCCACTCGAAATAGTCATCCATATCCGAGGCCTTAGGCACTTGCACAGATGTTAAGTGCGCATGAAGAAGAAGAGCTTCGTCTGATCTAGGGAGAGCTAAAGACCATCTGTCGTTCCGAATTGCTTGGGAAACCGTGGCATCGATACTAATCCTGAGGCTTCGAGGACCAGAGGGGCCTATGAGCTGCAGAAGAGAACCAAGCGGCGTCCAGTAGTCAAACCAGAAATGCAGCCGTCGACCATTTCCTAGCGAAGCTCTGATGAACTGAAAAGCTTCACTTCTCAATTTAAGAAGCATTCTCCATATCCAGGAATCATTCGGACTTTCATCAAGAGCCCAGAAGCTCTTCCCCGCTAGATTGTATCTTTTCTGCCATGAAGCCCAAAGAGAATCATTATCTGAGAATAACAGCCAAATGAAGCGCATACACAGAGCTCTGTTCCAGACGGAGAAGCGCCTAAGACCGAGTCCTCCTTCATCTTTAGGAAGACACACCACCGACCAGGAGACTTTAGTTTTTTTATGGATTTCAGTATTACCCGACCAAAGAAAGCGAGAGCAAAGAGACTCAATCTTACGAATGCAGCCTAGCGGTAACATAAAAGTCGAGATCCAGAAATTGACAGTTCCCGAGATAACCGAGGCAATGAGCTGAACCCTTCCAGAAAATGATAGAGTCTTCACTGCCCAGCCACAGAACCGTTTTGTGAGTTTATCCAGGAGAAGCTCATATTCCGAGATACGCAGCTTGCGAGACATAAGTGGCAGACCAAGGTACCTGATAGGCAGGGTTCCCAAAGGAAAATTGAATCTCTCAATGGCTGAGGCTTCAATAGGATCCAGACCCGCAAGATAAAGATGAGTCTTCTCAGCGTTTAAATAGAGGCCAGACCAGCTAGCGAAATCATCAAGACACTCGTTAATACCATGGAGGGAGGCTCAGGTCCCATCAAAGAAGACCATAACATCATCCGCGAACATCAAGTGAGAGACTTTCAAATCTGATGTTTTCGGATGATAAGCTATATAACCAGAGTCAAATCTCGATATGAGAAGCTTGGACATGACTTCCATGGCGAGCACGAAGAGTTATGGAGACAACGGGTCTCCTTGCCGGATTCCCTTAGTGCTTGAGAAGAAACCCGCCGATGAACCGTTAACTGTGATTGAAAAGGATGGCGAGGTTATGCACTCAGCAATCCAGTTAACAAACCTGCTCGGAATGTTTAGAGCTTTGAGAATAGCAATGATGAAGTCCCAACGAACAGAATCAAAAGCCTTACGCAGGTCAACTTTCAGCATTGCACGGGGTTGTATACCTTTTCGGTGATAACCATGAACCAATTCTGTTGCTAAGAGGACATTTTCAGCAAGAAGTCTTCCAGGCATAAACGCGGATTGGAAAGGGGATATCACCTGAGGCAAGATGCATTTGAGGCGCTGAGCCAAGAGCTTGGAAACCACTTTGTCTATCGTGTTCAGGCAGGAAATAGGCCTGAAGTAAGTAGTGCGAGCAGCATTTGGAACTTTGGGAATCAAGATCAACGATGTGGCGTTCCACTGTTTAAGAATGCGACCCGACCTCAAAAATTCCTTAACCGCCTCAGTCACCTCTGTGCCCACAACTTCCCAACAGCCAATGAAGAACTCGGCAAAATAACCATCTGGTCCGCTCGTCTTGTTTCTCGGAAGGGAGAAGAAAGCTTTTTTGATGTCATCGTCTGAGAAATCCTGGACCATTTGATCTTGCTGATGCGAGGAACATTTAATTGGCAAAAGCAGGTCTAGATCCTCTTGAATAAACATAGGGGGATCCACCTGGCCTCCCAAAAGGTTAGAGAAATAAGCAATGCAGTGATCGTGGATTCCTTTCTGGGAGGCTATCTGAGAGCCATTCTCATCTTCCATGAAATGGATGTGGTTAGCAGATTTTCTAGAGGCTGCCATACGGAAGAAGAAACGGGTGCAACTGTCACCTTGCCCAAGCCAGGAAATTCTTGACCTCTGAAGAAAGAAAGCTTCCTCGGCCTGAGATAGGATATGCCATTGCTACTGATGACGAAGCTCCTCAACAGCATTTGTAGGCGAGGGATCAAGGAGCATCCTGTTTTGCGAGCGCAGCATTTTCTCATGGGCGTGAATCACCCTTTTTTCCAGGCCCGAATAATTGTTCCTGCTGAAAGATTTGATGATTCTCTTCAGCTTCTTAAGCTTGCTTGAAACCCGAAACATAGCTGAACCCTTAAAATTAATGGAATGCCAATGATTGCAGATGAGGTTCTAGAACTCAGGATTCTGCAGAAGAAAGTTATAGAACTTAAAGGGGGATTTCTGATTTACCGAGGGAAGCTTAAGCATTACTCTGGCACAGGCATGGTCAGAAAAGTCAGGATTATCAAAATGAGCATAGGAACTAGGGAAAGTCGATGACCAACAGTCATTTACAAGGACCCAGTCCAGTTTTTTTGCAACAGGCGAGCTTCCTTTTGTTCCACCAAGTAAAGGTGCTGCCTCTGAAAGTAAGGTCAGAAAGATCAGACTCCAACAAGCATCGCCTGAAATCCCTAGTTCTCTTGTCCACATTTAGGCTGACTGCTTTGGAGTGCTCGGTTGGATGAAGAACTTGGTTAAAATCGCCCATAACAATCCAAGGCTTGCCAGAAACTGCATTACTCTTAGACAACTCCACTAACTCACTCCTCAAATCCATTCTCCCATCAACCTGATTAGAGGCGTAAACGACAGAAACAACAACCGCGGTTTGATAGTTTGGAAGCTCCACAACACAAGACACCATCTGAAGAGAGCTCGAGATAACGGTGGCCTTGACAGACGGATGCCAGACGACCCAAATTTTTCCCAAATCCGAAAATATATAATTATCCGAGGAGGACCATCCAGGCAACAGATCACTAATAAACTTGTGATTCTTAGGCTGCTTGACATGGGTCTCCAGAATGCCGCCAAAAAAGGGTTTATTCATTCTGCACCACTTCTTAAAGCCCTTCCTATGACTGAATATGTTAAACCCGCGGACATTCCAACAAAAAAGGTCTGTACACATAATTTAAGCTGATTTGGGGCCCTTGCCCCTGACTTCCTTCGTACCAGTCTGCTTTTTCTTCGACTGTACCATTTTCCACATCTTTTCAACCACTAGTTCACCCTCTTCAAGATCGGACTCAGCCGACTGAACATCCGAGGAATCATGTTCAGCATCCGAAGTGCAGCTGCTTTTACGGCTGGCGATAATGTCCTTACCCTGCTCATTGGGGATGGCAGGCTTTGAGGAACTAGTTTCACCTTGAACAAAGTCTTTACCCGACCCCAGGAGACAAACAGGCAAATCAGAAACCTGGATTGAAGGTTGATTCGGTATTGCTCTGTACTCCAGAGTCACACGCTGTTTACTCTTAGACCTGCCACGGCGAGTTTTCTTCCCCTTGGATAGCTGAGATGTACCTTTGGGACAGGTTTCCATGTTATGCCCAGATGAGTTGCAGGCTTTACAGGTTATGGGAGCTCTTGAGCATCTCTTCAGGCTGTGCCCTATCTCTTTGCAGAAAGAGCAAATCGGAGGCATCCAAGGACTGGATACCAAGATTCTTTTTATATCACCTGAGTCAAATTTAACGTTGACTGCCTCTAGGAGCGGTTTTCGCGGATCAATGATCGTAAACACCTTTGCGACTTCTAAGTTTGTTTTGTTTGCAGTGGTGGGGTGAAGGTGCTTTGGATCTCCAACTAATCCGGCGATTTCATAGAGACATTCTTCATTGAAGAACTGGAAGGGGACCTCACGAAGCTCTAACCAAATCGGGGCAGAATTCAGCTCAGGCTTCACGGGAACGACACCTGGCTCCCACTTAGCGACAAACATGGTTTGTCCTTCAATCTGCCACAGACATTGATTGATGACCCTGTTCCTAGTGAAAGAGTTGGGAATCCTGAACAGGTAAGCATTTCCGGGCATCTTCGACACAGAGATGTCTCTATACTGCTTGCTCCAGATCCCATTCACAATGTTATGAACCGTTCCCTGCGACGGAGGCTCAGAGTAGAATTGTCCTAAAACAAAAAGTCCCACGATTTTTTTGTTTCTCTCGATGACCTTGTTTGGAATCTTCAGACAGACTTCCCCGCTTGGGAGAGTGAAAGATTCACCTTTCTTCTTAAACTGCTTGGATGATCCTTTGACGAAAGAATTCCAGGTGTCAGCTGGCGATGGGGACTGCTTTGGCTGAGAGCGGGAAGACGTGTCTATATCAGCGCAGGCAGAGTCAGCAGTAGCCTTCGAGCCACTGACATCGACACTAGGGACAGCTGAGGATGGAAACTCAGGATCAGCTGAGGCGACAGCGATCTCTGGGACTTCAGATCTGAAAGAATCCAAACTAGGGTTTGGCGGCAGCACAACAATCGAGACTGCGGCAGCTTCATCCACCAAAGGGGGGAGAGCTAGAGGATCCGACGGAGGAGCCACCGGATCAGCCTGAGACTCATCTCCGGGGACAGATCCAGGGGCCGACGACTCAGGCGAAGAAGAGCCGAGACCCTTTGCAAGCGGGGATTTCTTTGATTTCTTCTTGGCCATGAGGGAAGGAGGAACCACCAGGGGGGCAGGGAAAGGAGGCCGACGTCCGGAGAGACGCCGGCGGTCCGCCGCCGGAGGCGAACGACGGCATCTTATCGCTTAAAAGTTGCACTTTTAGGAAAGAGAAAAAGAGCTTTTTGATCCCCACCACTTTATGTAAATAAAATTATTATAAAATGTTGTAATGAAAGTCTCTCTGTTGAAAAATCAAAACTTAGTAGATAGTCATCGAAACTAAGCCAATAAGTATTTCCTTTTAAAGAAACACCACGAGATACTATCATGAAGTTGGCATTGATCTCAAGAAATCTCCATGAGGCAGAACTAAAATCATATATTTCAAAACACAACAATTGGGTGGTTTGTGTCGATATTATTGCGATACCTCAAGAGTTTTTAGCTACGACAAGATTTGTTGTTTACGGTTACATGAAAGATGCATGTTCTTAGAGGAGAAGTTCCAAAAATGGTGGAAGTGGCCAATGAACTAAAGAGATCTCCTAAAAACACTTCTTCTTTCTTTTCCTTCTGGTGAAAGCCATCTCAACCCTGCTCAAGACATATCTTCCTCTGTCCTCGCAAACCAGACTTAAACGCATGTTCTACGAAATGTTATGGGGTTATTTACAAGTCGTTTCATTTATTAAAAGTTTAAAGATTGGAGCAAAACATGATAGATTCTATATATGTTTAATTTGTATTATAAGATCATCAGGTTTCATTTCTCTTTAATAGATTTGTTAGTTCCATTTAAGCAAGTACAACCTGTACTGGTTTTATGCGTTTATGGTAGATTTTCCTAGATAAAGCATTCTAGGACCGGACCAAGAGAAAATACACATTTTTGGTATATATGTGTATATTAGGGAATGTATCACACATGGAAAGTTGGAACGGATCTTAACTAAGATATAAATAATATGTGCTAATTCTTTCATTGCCAATTAATTTTGAATTGGAAACTAAAAATCTTAACAGGAATATCCTAATTTCGCTGTCCCACTTCGTGGAGCCAGGAGATGGTATCACAATATATATCTGCCACACTACGCTCGGAGACCAAATGTGGGGTTTTGAAGGCTTGTAGCTTTAGAACCACCACAAAATAAATAAAATGTGACCAAGTGCGAGTCTGTGACGTAGACCTACAAGGCGTGGCTTCCTTCTTGTCTCTATGAAATTTATGAATGTGAGAATGCGACGATCGAGAGTCCTTTGTATTTTCCTCTTTCTGCACAACCTCGTGTGTGTCGGTGCGCATTTATATTCCAAACCTACTCAGAAAAAAATAAAATAAAATCTAGACCAGGGGTCTTAGTTAATCGCCTTATAATTAACAACCAATACTACCCTTAAATTGATTAACCAGAAAAACAAAAAAAAATATTACCCTCGAATAAACATTAGACATGTACATAAACGACAACTCTTTGGTTTAATTTCCAAGATTCGTCTTCTACGTTAGCCCAACAAGTAAAAAAAAAATTATAAACAAAGGAAAAACAAACAACGTACGAAAATGGTTGTCGGTTCTTCGCAAATCCCACGAGTGTGCAACGAACATTGGTACAAGAAAAGTCATTATATTTTAAAGGACGTTATTATAGACACGATCCACGAGTGGACCAATGCATGCTTAATAGTAATACAAAAGAAAATGAAATATAATGAAGAGAAAAGTATAAAAACTTATTGATGCATGTGAAGATCCCAATTATACTCTACGAATACCCCTGATCTTCCCCGTAATTACACTTGATGCCACTGTCACTGTGTCACAAACCTATAACCTAACCTTGGATAGAAAGTTAACTTCCTTACGTGGGTCTAACCTAATTCAAGAATGTTAAAACCTTAACTATAATTTAAAGATTAAACAGAAACTAAAATACTCTTATGTAATGTAATTCCAAGAGTACTATTTATATAAAATCTCTGTGTGAGTAATTCATTTTTTAGTAGAATTCCTAGTAATCAATTTTTATTCAAGAAAAGACTTACAATTTTTTTTATTGTGTTTAAAAGGTTAAGCTCTTTGTGAAATGCTGTGAAGTAATAAAGTCTTGTGGCAAATTAGCTCTCTTCACAATCCTCTTCATGTTGCTCTGTAAACTCTGTTCCACTAACTGCTTCACTGCTTTCCTCTCATCACTCATCCTAACCTCATTATCTCTCTCCCTACCCAAAGAAGAAGAAGAAAATGTTCCATAGATCGGAGCTGACACTTGCTTCCCTTTGTCCACAACTCTCAAGCACTCTAGTATCCTGGAGGCTCGCTTTTGCGCCAATGCGCTTCCCACAAGCGTAAGCTCAAGCAATGAAGATTCAATACCCGCTTCGATCATCGCTTTCCGGTCTCCATATCCCTTGTGAGCCATTAACATGAGTATGTAAATCGCTTTCTCTTGACATTTCTGTGCATCATTCCAGTTCAGCACATCAACCAATATGTGAAACGCTTCCGCCGCTGCTCCAACGGCTTTCCTCCCTTCAGGGACTGATACTACATTGGTTAAGATCGAGAGGATCCTCTCGCTCACTTCCATGTCTCCCAATGTTTGTAAGAGAAATGGGATCAGATTGGTTTCGAGGATGAATGAAACGTTTTGGTGATGGATTGAGAGGTTGTAAAGAGCTCGAAGAGCGTCTTCTTTAGCTTGTGAGCTGCTGTTTTCTTCCAGTGTTTTCACTAGGAAGATGATTGCACCCGAGGAACCGATGATTGGTTTGTTGGAATCCAACGCGCTTAATCCGAGAAAATTCGCGACGATTGCCTCCGTTATTGCTTGATTAGGAGGTTTTAAGGACTCGATTAGCTTCAGCATTTTGTGAATAGCACCTGCTTCAACAATGGCTGCTTTGTTCCTGAAAATATTTGCATATATGTCATTGAAGAGGAAAGATCTAAAACCCACAAATGATTGAATTAAATGCTTCAAGTGGTGATTCAGATGCTAGAAAGTGACTTATCAGAAGAAAACAAGTGTTTCAACTTTCACCTCATGAAGCAAAAAAAATCATTAGTGCATTGTAAATCTCCAAAAGAAGATCAAAATCTGAGAAATCGAAACTAAAACTCTAAGTAATGATTCAGATGCATAGAAAGTGACCTATCAGAGAAAACAATTTTTTTCTTAATTGTTTCAAAGTTTCACAACATAAGTAGTGCATTGTATAAGCTTCTATAGAAAGATCAAAGTCTGAGAAATCGAAACTAAAACTCATAATATCTAATTGAAATTTGTGATCCACAAGAACATGCAAACGAGAACGGAGACTTACGCATCGTTACCGATTCCGAGATTGAGAAGAGCATAGAGCGAAGAAATCTGAGAATCTTCAATCGATGAATCGTCGATCATACTAACAAGCGGCGGAATCGCACCAAGCATCGCGAGCGTCACTCTCGCCTCCGTGTCGTCCTTCGCTAACAACCTAACCTCACTCGCCGCCGCCGCCGCCGCTAATTTCTTCTCATCTCCACCGTCTTCCGCCGCCTCCGTTTGTAAATCCCTAACCACTCGTTTCATAATCTCCAGCGTTTTCCCTTTCTTCTTAGTCTCAACACCAGTTTCAATCACGGCTAAGTTCAACAGATCGCTTAGCTTCTCCGATTTAGATGCTGAATCGTCCCTTCCGATCGTTGCAGGTTTCGAATCGCTAATCGTTTTTGTGAAATAGGTTTTATCTTCTTGGAGGCCTCGCCGATAACGAGAGCTACCGCCGCAGCTAATAGCGTGGATGATCATCCTGCGGAATGCCGATCCGGAGGAGGAGTTCCCGGAGGTGGAGGAAGAAGAAGAAGCGGAGGGAATGCGGTGAAGGATGAGAGGATCGGCATTGTTCCGGTGACACTTGGCCATTATCGCCGATCAATTCTATAGAGCTTGAAGAGAGAGAGACAGAGAGAGAGGGAGAGTGAAGCAAAAGATTTGTTGTTCTGTTTTTATTTGGAAGCGAAAACAGAGGAAATTAATAATCTTTAGAGATTGTGTGATTTATTTTATTTTATTTTATTTATTATTGATCGTGTGAGAATTAAATTAATTAGTTTACTGACAATTTTCTAAGCATAAAATATCAATTATTTCATGAATCTACAGCTTTGTCCTATTTAGTAAGAATTGTACTGTGTATCACGTAATTATGCAACTCAATACATACTTAATAAAGAGTGTCATTTTAACAAATTTCAAAATTCAATAAAATTGTTTAAAATTCTATTTTATTCCTTATTAATACATTAAACAAATTTCCTTCTCTAATTAGTAATTATTACATTAAAACAGTAGGGTTAAAACTAGATTTAAAAGAAAAATTTTGCATTGAAAACATAAAATGCCACTCTTTATAAAACAAAAACAAAATGTTAAAATGCATTTTTTGTGAAACAGAAAAAATAAGAAATTGTTTTTTTGTTTTTTTTTGTTTTAAACTTCTACGAATTTTAGTTTCGCAAATTACTATCAAAGAAACCAATAAATGAAACGAATTGTTGTGGCTGACTCTATTGCCAAACAGGCTTTTAGAAACTTGGATGAAACTCTTCTTTATCATATAAAAGAAATGCACATTTTAGATAAGAGATACTAACAGTTAACGAAAAAGAAAAGAAAATTGACTAATACAATCTTGAGAAATTGCATTATATAACCATCAAATAAATTATAATTTATAAACTAACCAAAAAAATATTTGAATGTGATATTGTCTATATATTCTATATTAATATTTGTTTTGCCCTTTTTTCTTTTCTTTCTTTTTTCTTCTTCTCTTTTTTTCCCTTGTTCCCTCATGCAATCCACCTTTTTCGCTGCTGCTACACCACTATCGTTATAAACCTCGTCAAAGAATCATTGAAAAAATCTCAACTTTTACCAGACTATCTGTTTCTCATCTTGTTTCTTCTCACCTCTTCACACGGCGTTCTCCTTAGCTCATATGAGTTGTACTTTGATTCTAATTTTCATTTTTTTTTTTACTTTTGGTCAATTGTTTCAATCAAGTTGATTGGGTAGTTTTATGCAAATCTGAATCATTTTCAAAATTTGGAACCTTGAATTCGATTAATGCTTTTTAGATTTCGAATTACTCAATAAAATTTTGGGTTTAAGAGCATTGGAAATTTCATTATTTTGAGTCTATAAAATCAATGTAGCATAACAAGTCTATATAACATGTAGCATAGTATGACTATATGTATTAAACAATTTTCACAATATTTTTGACCCTAAAACACAAACAACTTTCACAATTCTATCAATCTAGTTTTTTTATGTTTTGATTAAAAGTGGACTTTATATGTTATTTATAAAAATAGTCTTGTTAACTTGGTGATGATACTATTTACGTTCACAATAAAAATTATTCTAAATTTGCTGATTAAAAAATAGACTTGTTATGTTATTGATAAAAAATAGACTTGATATGTTGTTGTGACACTATTCATATATGAAAAATTAAGATCATGTTAGTTTTTAAAAATTCAAATCATGTTGGATATGAAAAAAAAAATCTGTGTTTTTTCTATAGATATACAAGATTGTATTAATTAATAAAACGTGAATAATAGAGAAAATAAAATCTACGGAGTAACAATGTTTACTATAGACTATCTATATCTATATTTATGTGCTGAAAATGGTAAAAAAGTCTGAAAAGCATGTCAATTGTTACTTGCTTAATTTCTATAACATCATGGCTATATTCTTCATAGATGATTGAAACTTGGTTATTCACTTAATTCTCCCTATAATCTTTAATGTAGTGTTCACTTAATAGATAAATAAAATGCACATTTTGGGCCTGCGATTTATGTTTATGAAAGATTAAAAATACAGAATTTATCAAACAAAACATATGGAGAACAAAAAAATACACAAATAATGTTTAGAAAATAATGATTTGGTGTTTAAATCACACCCAAATCGCCTGGCCATTCAAGATATAGGATAACTGCATGGCACCTATATCATATCTCCATTCACTATTCTAATTAATAGCATTGATTCCCAACTGCATCATTTTCGAGGTCTGTCTTTTAGTACGTGAAAGTAAAGCAATAGAACAGGGTTTTGGCTTTAAACTAGAAATTGTATAACAATATTAAAAAATTAGTGTCCATAAAAAGAAAACATTTTACTACATTATTATTACTATTTTTTAATTTTACTACATCAAATATACTTATTTGATATAAAAATCTGAACATGGTCTACAAATAGTTTGAAACAGCGCTGTCAATTACACATACGAATCACAATCACACTTAGATCGAGTGGTATTAGGAGCCTTAGTGGGCTGTCCATAACCAGTAGGAGGTGAACATCGACTAGAACAATGTTGTGTTTCAGTATTCATCACTGAAGTTATGTTGCGCCAAAAAAAGGTAAAATGGTAAGACTCAATTGACAATTTCAAAACTATAGTTCTAAAAGAAAGAATCCAAATTGTTTAACTATAGACCAGATGTATCAGATTGTTTCCACATCAAAAGACACGACTGACATTTCTCAGTCACTAACTACAATAAGTAAGCTAATTTATCATTAATCACGACAATATTAACTTGATTAAATTATAAGACAAAGGAATTACTAACAAAAACTATAAGAATAAACAAAGATTTCAATGTCGGAAGCTATTACGGAGAAGGATCCTATTCAATTCTAGCGACAATAGAACGTGGTTAATTTATTATACCGTTTCTTTCATTTAATTTGTGTAATACTTTTTTCTTCTTAGTTTCATCTCCTCATAAGAAAATTAGATCTGTAACAAACCATATTGGTACCGTCCGATCTTGTAAGTTGTAACACATTATTTCAATGCTCCAAGTTTAATTTCAAATGCTTATAGACAAAGAAGAAGTCGGTGACTTAGGTCTTGTCATTGGATATTCGGTTTAGTTTGGTTTGTTTTTGTGGATTTTAAGCAGTTCGGGTATAGGAGTTTACAAACTGTTGGAGATAAATAACTTTTTTGGATCGTCGAATATGACACATATCAAGTTAGACTAGATGGTCATTTATCCTAAAAGCACACCATTTCGAGAGGATGTGGTTACGAAGCTGGGTGATCGAGCCTTAGGACAAATTAGGACAGACAGATCAAAGTAGATTAGACGATTACTTATTCTAAAAGCTTAGCACTTCAAGTGGGTGTGGTTATGAGGCTGGGTGACCGAACCTTAAGACAGGTTAGAACGGACATATCAAGGTAGATTAGATAGTCACTTATCCTAAAAACATACCATCTCAAGAGGGTGCAGTTACGAAGTTGGATGATCGAACTTTTGGACATATTAGGATAGGTAATTAGCCTCCACCTTCTCCCAGAACTGTGTGGGGAGTAAGGAGAGGAGTGGATCCTAAGCAGTAAGGAATACATTGCATCTAGCAACCACGACAGCTCGACTCCTAATTACAAGGAATTCGGGCTAGGTATATAAATCATTTAGGCGAGAATGGTTTTTTTAACTTAAATTTTTCCCGCCAATCGCCAATAAGAATATATTTAACTTTTTATTCATGTTCCTGACAATCTATGAACATGCATATAATGCCTTATGCTTACACCTGACAGGAGAAATTGACAATACTTTGGACATAGGGAAGAACAATATGAGAGATGCCCATACCTTGTTTAACATTATATTCTGGAAGGATAACAACACAACAAAGTGCGGTCAGGAAGGAGATACATACTACCAAAAAAAGTAGGTGAGATAAAAATCAGCAAATCCAAACAAGATCTAAATCTGACCCAATAACCCGACAACCAGGATCCGACCTGGTATACTAATCCGAATCATGTAAAACTCTATAAATACTTCCCTTCCGCCAACAAAGAAGGGGGTTTGATTCCACTCTCTTGACTCACCCATCTTGACTCATATTATCACATAGATATTTGTGAGCAAACATATTTTTCTATACGCTTAACACTTCTTATTTCTGAGATTTCAAGTCAATTCTCTGACCATATTCCGGTCATCTTCATGGCGGATTTGGCTCGGTCCGTTTCCTAACTCTCCTATTATCATATAGATAACTGTGAGACTAAAGAGTTTTTAAAACATTCTTTTCTAAACACTTAGCTTTCCTCACTTCCGAGACTAAGTCTCATTTTTGACTACTCATTGGTCACCTTCAGGGTTGCTCCTATGCTGTGAAGCTTATCCAGCCTCCAAACTCTTATTTTCTTCTCTTTCACCTTAAATAGCCCACCATTCAAAGCCCGTCACGAATCTTTCCTTTCTAAGGACCCGATAGGCACTCATCACTTGTTTTTCAATTATTCTTTTCGCTCTTCGATTCACCACTCTGTGGTCTTTCATTTTTTTGTTTTCTTACTTAACATCGGAGAACCATCGGAAAACATCCTTTCATTGTATCTTCTAAGCTTTTATGTTTCTTTCTTGTTTTGTAGGAGACTTGGCCCTTAGATCAAAAATCTCCTAAACAGAAATCATATTAAAATTAAAGAAAAATTAGTTTGGTTGAGGCTCAGATATTTCGAGTTTTTTATCAGTTTGGTTCTTCAGTGAAAAATTAGATCCCAAATATATTCAAATTCAGTTCGGATCCTGTTCGGTTCATATATTTTTACTTCCTGAAATATATAACCAAGTTATCTGAATTATTTGATACTTTTATCTATCTATCTAAAATAGTTGATAAACTGAAATATTCTGAGTTTTTTTTTGTTGTCGTTGTTCAGAATTATAATTATAATGTTGGATATTTTGATTATTGAATATTAGGTGTATAGAATTGTACTTTGACATTGTTGGATTTCGGTTTGGTACAGGTTTCCAGTATTAAAAAGGAACCATTCAGATAGTTTTGACTATCGATTCCTCCAAAATCGATGACTATCCATTCCTTCTAATTCGGTTTGGTTTGATTCTTTCGGTTCATGGTCATTTGCCCGCCTAATTCAGTTTGGTTTGGTTCTTTCTGTTCTATGGTAATTAGCCTAGAACTCGGCGTGTTGCTTTTGTTGGCAAAAGATAAATCCTTTTTAAACATCATCATCCGTACGTGTACAAAGAGTTATAAAACGTTAACAGAGTTAGTCTAAGTTTTGTTCTTATGATCAAGCTGCCATTTCTTCAACAGGAGGAGCATTGTTCTCGAGCTTCTTGATCACCAATTTGTTGTTTGTCTGGTCAACGTCGAGAAGAATACTGTCTTCCTCTGCAAAATCTCCCTTCAAAACTTCCACGGCGATCTCATTCTCCACCATCTGTTGTATCACTCTCTTCACCGGTCTTGCTCCATAGTTTGGATCAAATCCGAGCTGAGCAAGAAGATCCACTGCTTCTCTTGTGTATTGAAGTTTTATTTTCTTCTGCTCCAACCTGTTCTTTACTCGTTCCATTTGCAACTCCACGATCTTAAAGATTTCTCTTGAATCCAGCGGCTGGAAAACTATGTATTCATCTATCCTGTTCATAAACTCTGGCCTGAAAGTTTGTCTTGCCAAGTCCACAACTTGACGCTTCATCAGCTCATAAACTGCTTCTTTGCCGTCTTCTTTGTTGCCGAGTGTCTCAAGTATGTGATGAGATCCTATATTAGACGTCATAATCACAACACAGTTTGTGAAACTTACTGTCCTCCCTTGTGAATCAGTTATTCTTCCATCGTCAAGTAGCTGTAGCAAGATATTGAAGACATCAGGATGGGCTTTCTCGATCTCATCAAACAAAACCACCGAATAAGGTCTCCTACGAACAACTTCTGTTAACTGCCCACCTTCTTCATAACCTACATAGCCAGGAGGTGCACCAACGAGCCGTGACACCGAGAATTTTTCCATGTACTCACTCATATCTATCCTTACTATTGCGTTCTCAGTGTTGAAAAGGTATCCAGCTAGAGCCTTAGCGAGCTCGGTTTTACCAACACCTGTAGGACCCATGAACATAAAACTGGCTATTGGACGGTTAGGATCTGAAAGACCAGCCCTTGAACGACGGATAGCATCTGCTACTGATTTTACAGCCATGTCTTGACCAACAACTCTCTTGTGGAGCACTTGTTCCAACATGACCAGCTTTTCTCTCTCTGATTGCTGAAGATTTGATAGTGGAATACCGGTCCACTTGCTTACTATCTCTGCAATGTCGAGATCGGTTACCTCTTCTCGGAGTAGTGACTGTCCTGTCTCTCGGAATTTTGTGAGATTCTTCTCAGCTTCTTCTAATTGACGTTGGAGGGACATAAGTGTTCCATACTTGAGTTCAGCAGCACGTTCTAGATCATAATCACGTTCAGCTGATTCAATTTCCAGGTTCACTCGATCAATCTGTAACACGTAGAAAATGTTCAGGAGGATATCAAGGATGATATTTATATCACTGCATAAGCAACCAGCACAAGTACTACAACCACTAAATACAAAACAAGAAACTTCCCGATTATCTTAAGTTATTAAGCCGAAACAGCATACGTGTGTTCTTAGATTTTAAACCCGCAGTGAGGAAAAAGATTGTACCTCTTCTTTAAATGAACGTATTTTGGTCATGAGAGACTTTTCTTCCTCCCATTGCTCACTGAATTCTTTCTGTTTTTCTTTGAGCATGGTCAAATCATTCTCGATCTTCTGTAGCCGTTCTTTAGAAGCTTTATCAGTATCGTTTTTCAAAGAAAGCTTCTCCATCTCCAGTTTGATCACAGCTCTGTCAATTTCATCGAGTTCAGTTGGTTTAGAAGTGATCTCCATCTTCAGCTTTGCAGCAGCTTCGTCGACAAGATCAATAGCTGAAACAAAGAACTTTCATCTTAGGAAACAATGCTATTCTCGAGCTTTTTTCTGGCCAACAAACACTTTCCTAAGCAAAATACTACTAAAGAATCACGCAAAGGTGCAAGTTTATACCTTTGTCTGGCAGAAAGCGTTCAGTGATGTAGCGGTCTGCAAGAACCGCTGCTGAAACAAGGGAACCATCTGATATCTTAACACCATGATGTAACTCGTACCGCTCTCTTAACCCACGAAGAATCGAGATGGTATCTTCAACAGATGGCTGACCACAGAACACTTGCTGAAACCTACGTTCCAAAGCTGGATCCTTCTCTACGTACTTGCGGTATTCAGTAAGTGTCGTTGCACCAATGCATCGCAGTTCACCTCGTCCAAGCATTGGTTTCAAGAGGTTGCTCGCATCCATTGCTCCACCAGTAGCTCCTACAGAAGGTAAACAATATTAACCCATTCATTAGTTTTTTCCTATCAACAATACAGCTTGCTTTGTAGTTAAAAGTCATCATGTGGGTGGAAAAATGACAAACGCACCAGCACCAACAACAGTGTGGATTTCATCAATGAACAAGATTGTCTGCCCATTGGAAGCAGTTACTTCCTTCAGTACTGCTTTCAACCTTTCCTCAAAATCCCCTCGAAATTTGGCACCAGCTAGCAGTGAACCCATGTCGAGAGATATCAACTACATTAAATAGCAACCAAGCCAAGCATGTCAAAATCTTTCTCAGGCCTTTTCTAGAAGAAAATGTAAACCAAATTACAGATTAAAGCAAAAAGAACACTGGAGCAACCTTCCGATTCAAGAGAGGCTCAGGGACATCCCCTCGTACAATTCGCTGAGCCAACCTGAAAAAGGTTAAAATATCTCAGTAATTCAGAGGTATGGCAAAATAAAAGAGAAACTAGAGATATAATTGCAAGCCTTACCCCTCTGCAATTGCAGTTTTCCCTACACCAGGTTCACCGATGATAACAGGATTGTTTTTTGTCCTCCTGCATAAAATCTGGATGCAACGCCGAATTTCATCATCTCTTCCAATGACAGGATCAAGTTTTCCTCGTCTGGCCATCTCAGTTAAATCATTTCCATACTTTTCAAGTGCATCATATTTTCCTTCAGGATCTACATGTGGAGCATCAAGTGATGAGAATATAAAAAGACACAGGGTAAAAAAACATTAAATGAGATCTCCACACTGTCTTATCTATTGTTAGCTTAAGTACCAACACACGTCTTACATCTACTTACAATGTTCACCAATACAATGCGGAACATAAGAATACTTACTTTGATCAGTAACTCGTTGACTACCGCGAACAGCTTTAATAACTTCCTTCAGGGCTTCCTCAGTAAGTTTCAGGTCCTTGAAAAATTGTTGTCCAAACCTTTTGTCTGAATAAAAGGCCAACAGAAGGTGTTCAACCGACACGTAATCATCTTGAAACTCTTTCTTATACCTCTCTGCGTTTTGTAAGATAGTGCTAAGAGATGGCCCTAGTATCTGTCCACTGGTATCACCAGTAACCTGCCGGTCACAAGAAGAAACCAAGTTGAATCAAACATCATAGTGAGAAATAAAAAGGAAAGAGAGAAAATCAAGCAGCACCTTCGGTTGTGTAGAAATGAAGGCGTCTGTAGCCTGCAAAACAGAGCTATTGTCTATTCCAGCCTTTGCAAATATTCTCCTGGCAAGACCATCTTTCTGCTCCAGAAGAGCTTTCATCAAATGTTCGGATTCGACAATTTGTTGTTTTGAAACACGAGCTGCATCATAAGCATTGATAATCCCTTCCCAAGCCATCTCCGTATAAGAATTTTGATTAGTCTACAGAAAGAAAGAAAAAAGAAAAATTTTAACTCTCTTTCTCACTACCAAAGCAAAATCTAATACACATGAACGGAAGATAATGCAAATGAGATTATAAAAATCAAGAGGAAAGATTCCAACTTTCTCCTGAAAATCAACCACATCATATGAGAAAATCAACAAATTTATCACCAAAAGGCAAACCTTGCCAAAAGCACAATCGAATACACATCATATGAAAAAGAAACAGACAAATTACCACTCTTTATCACTGCCGAAAGCACAATCGAATACACATGAATGGAAGATAGTGTCATTTGGATCATAAGAATCAAGAGGAAAGATTCGAACTTTCTCCTGAATTTACCCACATCATATGAGAAAACCAACACATTATCACCAAAAGGCAAACCTTGCCAAAAGTACAATCGAGTACACATGAACAGAAGATAATGTAATGAGATTACATAATCAAGAGCAGAGATTCCAACTTTCTCCTGAAAATCAACCACATGATATGAGAAAATCAACCAATTATCACCAAAAGGCAAACCTTGACAAACACATAACCGAATATACATCATAGGAGAGAAATTAACACTCTTTATCACTGCCAAAGCACAATCGATTACACTTGATCGGAAGATAATTCATTACAGAATCATGAGGGAAGATTCCAAAATCCTCCTGAATCTAATAATCACATCATGTCAACAATTTATCACTTAAAGGCAAACCTTTTCACAAAAAAAGAGAGAAGCCCATGAAAATCTAGTTGCTGACCAGTCTAAACGATAAAGATAGAAACTTGCAAAGATCAAAATCGACCAAATAAACAGTAAAGAAACTGAAAATCCAGATCACAAACCTGAGCTGCGGAAACCGAGAAGCGTCGGGGAGAAGGAAATTGGAAAGAAAGAGGTAACAGTTGGCCACGAGAAGCGGCCTGCGTGACGTTTCCCGAAACTCCTATGAAGGAGTTTGGCCGGAAAAGAGATGAAATTGGCGAGGAAGACGAGCTGAAGTGAGCAGAGGCAGAGATAGCGCGAGAACGGAGGAGAGAGGGTCTCGAAAAAGCATTGTGTGACTTGATGGCTAGCGAAACAGGCTTGGATAATCTCCTGGACGCCATGTGAGCTTTGAATTCGAAGCAGAGGCGAAGGAAATGTGTGGGATTCTGGGTTTGAGAGGTTTTGAAAGAAGAGGAAAGACGACGGAGGTTTTACCAGAAGCGATGTGTAGGATTTAGGATGCTTGGAGAAGAGGCAAAAGAAGTGTGTAGAAGAATTACCATTTCCATCGCGAATCTTCCATTCAAAGAATTTTTAGAACACAAAGTGGTTTCCTCAGGCGAACCTAAACCGCTTTTCGGTTATGAGAAAATTTGACTCTTTCGATTAAAAGCTTTGGTTTAAAGTAAACCAAGTGCGTTCTAATTTTAATGTGTATTTTTTTTTTTCTTGAGTATTACCACTAGCTACCATTAATTATAAGTGTATGTGTAGATCTTATTTAATTTATATTTTAAATAATAAATTTTTAGAATTTGTATTGAATTTTATGTTTACTATCAGTGTTTTTATGTTTATTCTCGATGATACATTATTTGTAATTTTTTCTGCATTAGTTTAAATAATAAGAAACTAAAAATTTACGATTTTAATTTTTATATAAAAACATCATAGTTCACTTAAAAATATATATTGAATATCAGAGAGGAATATTTATTTGTTTTTCGATCTTCATATTATTTTCATTCTTGTAAATCTTACTAATATAATACTTGTTAAATTTCTCAATTTACCATTTTAATTTTTTTGGGTTATATATATTTTATTGATTCCATCTTTTTTTAATTAAAAAAAATCATGTATAATATTTTTATGTGGACACTCTTCTTTTTACTATTATTTTTTAATAACTTTTATCTCCTTAATCGTTTATTAAATATTCTTTGTGTTTTATGATTTATTAGTTGGAGTTTTATATAAGATTATTTGAAAATCTTAACTTATTCAGTCTCATATTTTTTTTCACTTGCATTAAAATTTAATTATATTTTTAGTTTAAAATGAATTTTAAAACACTTGAAAAAAATAGAGTGGTGCATTTAAAAAGTCTTGTATTATATAATATTTATAAGTTTTTATATATTTAAATTAAATTTTAATTTTATTCTAATATAAATATATATTAATATTTATTTATATTCTTTAATATGTTTGCTTAAAATTTAATTAATTATATATTTTATTAATATTTTAAATGGACATGTATCATTCTCTTCATTGCTAACATGTCACTCAGCTGGAGAGAGTTGAACAACTTATATATAACATATTAGTTATCTCAGTCAACCACTGTTTAAGATATACTGTTGCTTATAAAATTTTCACTCAGTCCTTAATTTAGCATGCAACCCTCTTCTCAGGTTATAGCTTCTAATCGCCGGCATGTGGGCCCTAAAGAGAAAAAGATGTCAGATTTGAATATTTTTTGTCAGATAGATTTTCTAATGATTTTTTTAATGTCGAAATCAAAAGAATTTTATATTAAAAAAAAAAATAAAGTCTATTTCTTCGTGCTTGTAGCACATTTTCCATTGTTTCATATTTCTCTTTTTTTTTCAGGCGTTCTTTCATCTTTAAATTTTGATTGTTCTAAATTCCAGAGGACTATACATAACTATCGTTCTATATTCCACTGACTATCTTTACGAAGAGCTCTAACATTCCAGATAAAATTCACAAAAAAATCATACTTGTGAAGAAAAGCTTTTTTTTTTAATCGTATTTTTTTAGGAGATATGACAGATATGGAGTTGTCACAGTGCATACTCTGTGCCAGCCATGTTCATGTTGTCTTCAAAAAAAGCTCCATCCTCCATTGATAAAAGAATATGATGAATGAAGAGATTTTACATCTTTGAGTGGATAGATTTACATCTCTGGATGGTTAATTATTAAAGATTAAAGACCGACGTCAGTGGTTCTTACTTTAGCCAATTATAATCTCTTTCCTTGGTGGGTTGGCGACAGTGGTTAGTTCTCTATTTAAATCTAATTTTTCTTGTGATTTTAGAATTAAATAACCGTTGTAGTCGTTAAACTAGTTATCCTTGTCGATGGTTAGTAATTTATTGAATGTTAAGGGGTGATGTTAGTTTTTCTTCCTTCGTCTTTTAGTTAAACGATTCACCACCTGTCAACCAGATGATGTAGGAACAAGAGCGACTTGTCCTTGCTTGGGTGGAAAGGTGGTGAATCTCTAGTTGGCCGTACGGCTCTCTCTAGATGACTCGATAGAAAGGGAGTGATGAAACGATGAGACCGGGTAACAATGGATCGAGAGACGCCACACAGATGATGGAAGAGTCTGTGATAAGTCTTGTTCTTCAGCTTCAAAGGAATCGCTCTTTTCCACCACCTGTCATCCACAAACCGACGGCCATACTGAGGTAGTAAACCGTACACTCTCCACCTTGTTGAGAGCTACGGTGGGTAAGAACTTAAAGAATTGGTTATCATGCTTACCTTACATTGAATTCGCTTATAACCATGCTAAGCACTCAGCCACTAAACAATCTCCTTTTGAAGTTGTATACGGGTTTAACCCTTTGACCCCATTAGATTTCTCACCGCTTCCCCAAACTGTCTATTCTAGCTCAGAAGGAATCACCAAGGCCGATTTTGTGAAAAAACTACATCAATGAGTTAAGGAAAACTTGGAGAAGAAGACTGAGAAGTACAAGCAACAAGTTGATAAGCACCGGAGGGAGGTCACATTTGAGCCGGGGGATTGGGTCTGGCTCCACATGAGAACCGAGAGATTTCCACACCAAAGGAGATCAAAGCTCTTACTGAGGGGAGATGGACCTTTCCGAGTCCTAGAGAAAGTCAATGACAACGCATACAAGCTTGAACTTCCAGGTGAGATGAATATTTCTCCAACCTTTAATGTTACTGATTTAGCTCCTTTCCATGCAGGAGATCCTGTTCTGCCGTCAGAACCTTTTCTAGAGGGAGGGAATGATGAGGACATCGAGACAAGCCTAACACTAGCTGATGAAGAGTCGATCAACATACCCACCATGAGGCATGCACCAAGGACAAGGTCAGGAACTAAGAGTCTAAGAGAGGAGTTCAACAAGTCAATAGAAGGGCTGATCACACTTATAGAGCACGAGGAACTCAAAGAGAAGCTACTCAAAGGGGAGATCACCCGAGAGACACCAATGGAGCCTCTAACCAAGTTCAGCACACTTGAGACCCAACAAGACGACGTGGAAGACTCGGCCGGTTCAAGCCAAGACCTTCAAGAAGCCAAGAAAGTCAAAGAGATACCGAGCAATGACTTCTCTCTACTTAAGCGTCAAGCCATATCATTCTTACCTGTTTTACAAGGCATCAAGGACGCTACTACGTTTGTCATCTCCAAGCAAGTGGAAATAGCACTCATCAAACCAATGTAAGTGTTTACAATTGGATTATATCTCACGAGCTTATTGTTTGTTTTGCAGGAGCTTTTCTTGCCTTAGTCGTTTTCCTTAGTTTTTAGAAGTTTTCCATTTTCTTGCTTTAGTTAAACGATGAGCTTTGTAGTTTCCTTTTCTGTATTTTTTGGCCAAGAGAAGCCACCCTGCTGTCGAACCATTATATAAGGTTCCTTCTCAGCATGTAAACTTTTTACCCTATCAATAAAATAACCGAGTTTTCTTTGAAAGCAAACCCTAGCCGCAGCTAGTTTTCTTCCTCTTCCTTGGTGTGATTCCTTTGAAGCTGAAGAACAAGACTTATCACAGACTCTTCCATCATCTGTATGGCGTCTCTCGATCCATTGTTACCCGGTCTCATCGTTTCATCACTCCCTTTCTATCGAGTCATCTAGAGAGAGCCGTACGGCCAACTAGAGATTCACCACCTTTCCACCCAAGCAAGGACAAGTCGCTCTTGTTCCTACATCATCTGGTATCAGAGCGACTTGTTGCATCACATTAGTAGTCTGAATCCGTTTTATTGCCTAGATACATCGGTTACCTCATATCCTATAGTATTATCATTACATCATCGGTTACAATTGAACTCGGTTACGATGCAACAAGTCGCTCTGATACCAGATGATGTAGGAACAAGAGCGACTTGTCCTTGCTTGGGTGGAACAAGAGCGATTTGTTTACTTGTTTTCTTTCTGTAAATATCTACGTATATAATGTTAACCATAAAATATATTTTTAAACGGTAAGTATGTTTGTTAACCTGTTCCATATAAACTCATCCATCAGTTACCAGAACATCAAACTGTTAACATTGTTACCATCATCAACCTACTTATCAATCTATTTGTTAGCCATTTATATTAACTTATTGCTTTGCCAAATTACTTTATTATTAGCATGTTACATAAATCAGATATTATTGTTAGCACGTTACAAAAGTCAGATATTATTGTTAGCACGTTAACACTATCTAGGATAACAACGTTAACAAGATAACACAGTAAATATCCACTAACTATATATATGTTAACTATATAATATATAATAACTTGATCACCTCATCTATATTAATTCCTTGCATTGTGCTAAACAATTCATTAGTATATTGTATCAAAAGTGGAAGACAGCTTTGTTCAATGCTAACCTAATTAAGATCATTGTCATATTCAAACAAAAAAATTGTTAAAGTTTACACCGCCATTGTTGTCATGCAGACATCCAATGTTAACATTCATTCATCCAGAATAATAGAGACATCTTTCTCTCTTACATACAGAACCATTCCATTCTCTCCGTTTTTTTTTGTTAAATAGTCGATAACACAGTTAACGATAACACAGTCGCATTATATCATTAACTATACTTGTTAATTAGATTAACATTTAATATCATTATTTTATTTAATATTATTTTCCAGGTTAATTATATGTTACTGAATATAAGTTATTGATACGGGGTACAGTTAACAAAAGCTATGGGATTTGAGTTTATAGTAATGTGTTTAGGGTGTAGGATTTAGGGTTTATGATTTTACTATTTATGGTTTAAGGTTTAGTGTTTAGGTAATAGAGTTAATGTAGGGTTTAGGTTTTAGGTTTAGAGTTTAATGTTTTTTTTTATCTTACTCGAATAAAATGAAAATGTGGTGTTAACGAATGAATGTTATCCGTTAGGGAATTGTTATTTGAAAAGAGTTATTGGCATAAAATAAAGTAAACAATAGCTTTCATATGTAGTTATTAAATATATATATATATATATATACATTAAAGTTAGCAAACGATGATAATATTATTTGAACCATTACGTTGTTTACCAATGTTTAATATTGTTTACCACATAATACTGAGATACACCAAATTTTGTGGCAGGCTGTAGGGTTATTAGAGCACCTCCATTGGTAAGCACTCTTAAGAGGTGCTTAATCAATTTTAAATTAGTATTTTTGAAATATTGTTGTTTAAGCACTTCACTTATGATGTTTTTTTTTTCAGGGTCCAATGGGAGATGCTTAAAAAAGAGTGCTTACGAATTTGTTTTTGTTTTTTTAGAAATGTAATCATAAACCATAAAAAACATAGAAATGTAAATCATAAACCATAAAAAACATAGAAATGTAAATCATAAACCATAAAAAGCATACATTATATTTGAAGAAACATATAAAACATAGAAATGTAAATCATAAACCATAAAAAACATAGAAGTGCTAATCATAAACCGTAATTTGGATTTGTGCCAAATTTGTTCCATAGATGCTCTACTAAATCTGCTTTCAATTGATCATGCTTTGTTTGATCATGAATTGAATTTCGAATTCCCATCAGATTTCCGATATTTGTAGGCCTATCTGTCTCGTACGTTAAATCCACTTGTGAAGTTCTGGTTGCTTCTAGTTGTGTGAATGAGTCTACATCATACTGAGTGTATCCAGCTTGTTCGTCTTCTACTATCATGTTGTGAAGAATTACACAAGCTCACATAATCTTGCCTATTTTTTCTTTATCCCAAATAAGAGCAGGGTTTTTGACAATAGCAAAACGAGCTTGCAGAACTCCAAAAGCACGTTCGACATCTTTACGGGCTGCTTCTTGACGTTGAGCAAATAAGATTGCTTTCTCACTTTCAGGCATTTGAATAGATTGGATAAATGTAGCCCAGTCAGGATAAATTCCATCTGTGAGATAGTATGCCAAATTATATCGTCGTCCGTTGACAAAGTATTTCACTTTTGGAGCTTTACCTTGTAATATGTCATCAAAAACCGGTGAGCGATCAAGAGCATTAATATCATTTAATGTACCTGGAGGTCCAAAAAATGCATGCCATATCCAAAGATCATATGAAGCTACAGCCTCTAAAACGATTGTTGGTTTGCCAGATCCACATGTGTATTGTCCTTTCCAAGTGGTTGGACAATTTTTCCACTCCCAGTGCATACAATCAATGCTTCCTATCATCCCGAGAAATCCGCGTTCTTCTCCCTTATCAAGAAGTTTTTGAAGATCTTCTAGTGTGGGTCTTCTTAGGTATTCAGCTCCAAACAAATATATGATTCATTCAACAAAATTTTCCAAGCAAGAAATCGCGGTGCTTTCACCAAGCCGGAGGTATTCATCAACCGCATCAGCCGCACAACCATATGCCATCATACGAATGGCTGCCGTACATTTTTGTAGTGCACTTAGACCGGGTCTTCCGGTAGCATCTCGTCTTTGTTGAAAGAATGGCATTTGAGTAGAGAGACTATCAACAATACGCATGAACAAAGGTTTGTTCATTCTGAAACGACGACGGAATATATGGGCTGGATATGTTTCATCTTCTTGGAAATAGTCGTTCCACAAGCGGATGTGGCCTTGTTCCCGATCTCTGTCAATGTATCTCCTTTTTTTTTTGTTGCATTTGGGCGATCACCATGATTCATGACAAGATTTTCAAACGCTTGATTGATAATGGTATCAAATCTTTCATCCAACATTTCCTCCAAATTATTATGGGAAGATCCAGCCATATTGGATGAAAGTTTTTTTACAAAATTAAAAAGGTAATCGGTTAGAAGTGAGGGAAAAGAAAAAGAGTGATATGTTTGTATAATGAGAGAAGTTATATGTAAATAAAGAAGGAAGTGATTTATATAAGCAAAAATGAATGAGTTTCTGCCTTGCAAATTATGTGGTTTACAATAGAAGACATAAATTACAAAATTCATGTCGGCACTACTAGAATACAAAATCTTTAAAAAAAAAACAAGACATAACCGACTAAACAACAAACTATGTGGCTCCCATATAAATATGTGGCCCAACAATCTCCACCATTGATCAATAATGGCTATCAGCCAAAATATCGGTCTTCTCAAATCTCATAACTTGTCTGAGTCATATTTGATCTTTATGCCCTGCATCAAAACAAACAACAAAAATTAGATAGGAGAAACTTCATAGTGATTAACTTTTGTGGATCATTGGTTGTAAGCAAACTTCTTAAACATGACTAACTTTCTGATCCATTAAAATAGTAACAAAGAGGACCATGTTTTCCCATACATAGCATTGAATTACAAAGAAACACTTAAATAAAGACTCTAACAAAGACTACAAACAAATACTCAAACAAAAACTGAAAAAAAAGACGCAAACACTCAACCAAAGACTCATACTAAGACTTAAACATAAACTTAAACAAAGACTCAAACACTTAGCCATCTTAAAACAATTCTTTGATGAGCTTATTCTTTAATTCTTCTTCTACCTCGCTAAGTGGTTCTTGTTTTCCAATCAGATTCTCCAACATCTTATATTTGCTTGTTTTCTGTTTCAGTTCTTCATCTTGTTTCCTAAGCACCAACAAGTTCTGACACTCCAAGACATCAACTTCGTTTTGCCCTTTCTTATTGGAAGCCTCTGATGCATTTTTCTTGGCTTTTGCCTTTGCTGCCTTCACACCTTCTGGCCGCCGCACCCCTTCACATCCAACATGAACATGTGAGCTTGGAGAACCTTCATCTGTCCTTCTTTTTTTAAGCTGTCCACTACCATTAGAAAGGCACCATTTTGGATCATTTCTAAGCTCTCTCCAACAATGTTCCAAGGTGAACTTGGCTTTGTGATCATTCAAATACAGCTGATTTGCAAGCTTTAACACATCATCTTCATTTTGTCCACTTGTTTTCTGAGAGGTTGCAGAAGCATAGCAACCTACAAATTTGCAGACTTGCTCATTTATCTTGGCCCACCTGTTCTTGCAATGCTGCGGCACCCTCTTCTCCATTCCAGCAAGTTTGCGACTTGATGCATAGTAAGTTGCAATCATACTCCAAAAAGCTTCTGCTTTTTGCTCATTCCCCACTATGGGATCTTTAGATGTGTTAAGCCAAGAACTTATAAGGACAAGATCTTCTAAAGGACTCCATTTTCTCCTTGACTTTCTAGGTTCTTTGGCTGTGCTTTCATCTTCACTTGGAGCTTCGGTCCATTGACTCTCAAACAGAAAAGCTTCTGTCTCACCGAGTTGAATGGTTGGTTCAACATTCGCTGGTGTTACAGGTTGCATTTGTGGATTTTGTTGACTATTTAAGAGATCAAGGAAGCCAGACTCACTATATGGATTCATATAGGGCATTTAAAATGATAAGGAATGAAAAGAATAATGATAAAGAGAATGGAAAAACGGTTAAAGAGAATAAAGATAAAGATAAAGAGAAGGATTAAAGGTAGAGAATAAGAGAGAATGTAAGAGAATGGAGAAGTAAAAGAGAAGATAAGAAGGAAGAGGTTAGGTTGAGTTAATGAAGACAATGGAGAAGTAAAGGAGAAGATAGAAGAGAAGAAGGTTGAGTTAATTAAAGCACCGATTGTGAAATAAGAGTTAATGCACTTCTCTCTTTTAATGGAGGCTTTAAAACAAAGGAGAAGATAGAAGAGAAGAAGGTTAGCAGTCAGTGTCATACTAATGCTTTCACCTAACCTCTACATTGATCACTACCAAGCATTGATCACAAATTCTAAGTCAAACCTAACACAAACCTCAACCATTCTCTAAAAAAAGCAAACTAAGTCAAACCTAACACAAACCCATCAGTTGCAAACAATTTGAACATACACCTGATACAATCTGACTAAACCTAACACAAACACAAGGTGACTTGGCTTTAACTAGTGTGTCGACAAACAAAAGAGCAAGAGCTTAATAATAAAGAACTGAGAAGATGATATAATAAAGAATTTGCCTTGTTAAGGAAAGAGAACAAACCAGGCCGTGCTCTAGTTCAATGCATGCCCCTGAAAAGAGGTTATCAAGAGCTTCAGAGAATCTCTGAGCCGTAACATATCTGCGAGCAAGAAGGATAATAATAATGTGTTATCAACCCATTCATTAGAAGAACAAATTAAGCTACCAATTCATAAAAGTTCAACCATCAGGAATCCAATTATCAATCAATCACCAGAATCCAAAATGGTCATGCAGAATCGAAGTAAATAATAACGAATCGAGCTAAAGAAGAGCTACGAACCTTGGATTGTCGATGAGAAGAATTTGGATTGTCGCATGTGAAAACGAAATTGGGAAAGAAAGAAAAGCAGATCCGAGGAAAGTACCTCTTGAACGGGAGGCAATTCACGTTTAATCCTCTCTCTCGACATGGATCGTTTGAAGGTGGATGGATCGTCTGTTATTTGCAAAACCCCCCTCAAACTGCTTGCCGTTTTGATCTATGTGATAAGTGATTTTCGTGTCAACATGCATGAAGAAGTTTTTGGGTAATCTCAGAATCAAAAGAATTGAAGGAGAACAAAAACTGTGATTTGGGAAATTTTGTTCCCGTGAAGAAAAAAAAGAGAGATGATAAAAGTGCGAAAAAAAAGAAAAAAATAAAAATAAAATAGCTGACCAATGAAAATCGACCACATAGTCGATGCTTAAGATTGCTTAAAATGCTAATATTAGCATCGATGCTAAGCTAATTCACCCATTAATGATTTATTTTTAATTCATTTATTCCTTAAGCATCTTCTAAGCACTCTCTATTGGAGGTGCTCTTATCTCTACTATATCTGTAGAGAGCTAATTTACATTTAATGCTGTTGTCGATTTATTATATTTTTCTTGCAGAAAATAACATGGTTGACGTGAGAATGAGTAAAGGCAATATATAGAAAAAATGCTGACATGGAATGGACTAAACTAATTTCTACTTTTTGTTTGGTAGATAGTGAATTACTTGATCAATTTTGGTATATAACTAAATGACTCTTTTTTTTTTCCAAATGTTGTTTAAATTTAACAACTAATTAAACAGCAGAGAACTTGAAAACTTTTAAAATTCCCAATAAAATTTGAAACAAAATCACTGCATTGCACGGATCCAAAACTTTAGTGTGTGAATGATGACAGCATATTTGGCTGTATGAGAAAAACGGTTTAACGCTCCGAATGGTGACGACGTATTTGGTTGTGCGTGAAAAGCAGTTTTAAAGTGTGGTACATTTCAACAGCGGTACGTGCAGGGGTCCGAATGGTGACATCGTTTTTGGTTGTGCGGGAAAATCGGTTTAAAAGTGTGGTACGATCTGTGGTATATGCAAGAAAATATATTTGCAGAATTAGTGCAGTTTGTATATAATTAGCGGTACAGAATAATGTTTGATTGGTAAAAATAACAGCTTACAGTCCACAATAAAATGTTTGAATGTTGAATAAGACTAAAACGGTACTGATTACATATTATAGATAAATATATTATAAAATATATAATAATTAATATAATTGTAAATAAATTATTAATATTGGTTTCTAAAAAATTTTTATATACATTTATGAACTTCAAATATTCAAATTTTATTTCAAGTAAAAGTTTGATTTTTGCGATACAAATACTGCTAAACAAGATAAAACCATGATTCCTATCTGCAATCATGTCTTTTATTTGGTCCATATAATGTCCATCAGCTGCCTCTGCTCCTTCAATATCATTCAAATCATATTCAAAATCTATATTGTTAATTTCCGTCTCTGTCATTGCATTTGCAAAATCTAGATCAGGGAAATCTGAATTTTGATAAAATTATTTAATCTCATTGTAGCCATTATTACTCCTTTTTGGATTTTAACACTCAAGACAAAATAGCAATATTACTCAGCACTCTCAACACCATATCAAGACACCTCATCTTTACATTACGATAGTTTTATCAATTCCTTTGTATATGTAAGCAACAAGGCTTAGAAAAAAAGGCAGAGTGAATTTCAGTGAGACATCACTTACAAATTTCATGCACTTCCATATTCTCTAACGCTTTCATCCTTGTATTTTCATCTTTGTATTTTCAATCTTTGGATTTCACTCCTTGTATTCAAATCAAATTTAATAAAGTAAGTTTTAATCATACTTCTTATCTTTTGATTCAAGCTTTAATTTTTTTTTTACAAAGTATAAAACTTATATCTAAGTTCTTATATAATTTTATATAATTATATAAATTTATATACCTTTATATAACCTGGGATTCAAATGGTATATAAGTTTATATAAATGGTATCAGAGCCAAGAAAAATACTGAAGTATATATTGTATAAAAGTTGTTTTCTTAAGACATTTTCAAACAAAAGGTTTTATGCTTAAACTAATCTTGGGTCTCTTGTTAAAAGCTTTCTACCAGCACTTGTCAAGAGGGTCGTCGACGTAGGTGTTCCAGACAGTAAGTGCTAAAGGCAGTGAGACCGTTGGTGAGCCGCAGTTCCGTCCGTCCTTGAAAAGTCCGGGTTAGTTTGCATGTTGCATAGAGCCTAAGTAGAGTCTAAAGCATGGCATCTTCAGTTAGAAAATGGTTTAAGTCTAAACATACTGCTTCTTCTGCGTCTCAAAAAACAATTAATTCAAGAGAAATAATGCCAAAAATTACAATTTTAAACAAAGAAATATCACATGATCAATTACCTCATGTTAATCCTGAAAATATATATCCGATAGGAACTTTTGATTTTAAAACTGCATATTCAATAAAAGAACATGAACAAACTATATCATTACAAAATAAATTTGAAGAAATTAAATTGCTTTCTTCTATGGCATTATAAAGTTATAGACAAAAGAAATTTAATTATATTCATTTTGGTTTAATACAAATAGCAATAAAACCTCTATCCAGAACGAGAATAGATTCCCCTGTACACATGTTATTAAGAGATAAAACTTTATTCAAATTTGAGACTCCTTATTAGGAGCAGTACAATCAAATCTATATAATGGAGCAGTATATTTTAATTGTGCTCCAAACTTTCAAGTAAGTTTACATGATCCTACTATATTTAATACATTAGTACTAAATGCACACTTACCTGAAACTAAATTTCAACAAGAAAGACATGGCTGCTTATTGTTGTATCGAATTTACTTCAAGTAATCTACATCTGAGTTTAATCCAATATGTTTATTGCAAGATGATACAAGTGAAACAACTATACTAGCAGTACATAGTAAAGATACTCCTACATCTACCTACACACCAAAGCAACTAAAATGGACAAAATAACTATTCCCGATCAATGAAAAATAGATATTACCCAACCACCAAGAAATTTTGAGCAAATAACTGTTTCTAGCATAACAAAACAAAGTGACGGAAAAATACTATTAAAATTTGGATCATTTAGAGAACCATCTTCATTAAGAATTAGCTCATTTTATTCTAGATCCTCTTTCTCTGACTATAGAACTGGTAGAACCAGTACTGAATCAGAAGAAAGTGTAGAACAAATTTTAACTAAAAATCAAGAGAAAAAACTAATTAATTTTTGATAATACCTGATTTTGACCACTTTTATAGATCATTTTTAATATCTTATGCAGGTGTTTTCACTCTGTTTTAAAGGTTTTTAAGTGATTTCTATGTTTTAGAATCTCAAAATAGTTTTCAAGATATTTTGACAAAAGGAATGCACTTGGGAGCAAAAAGCATAACTTTAGATAAATTTAGACCGTCGGAAGTTTGGCAGCACACGGAGGTCTTCCCACCGTCTGATCATCCCAACATTTTGACACAGAATAGAGGAGACAATCAGCTTTCCAATACAAGTCGAATTAAAGCAATCCAACGGTTAGATCTCTAGATATGGTCGATACACTGAAGGCGAATCATCACAGTCAAAAGTTCACCCGCGGCCAAAACGTCATCCGCCGGGGGTGCGAAATTTTAGACCGCGGGGAGCTCAATTCCGAGCCTCAGAAACCCATATTAAAGCCCAAGTCACTCCCGTCATTATTCCTGCAAGTCCTAGGCGTTCCTGAGGACTCAAGACACTATATAAACCCCTTTTAAGTCGTTTAGAAAGGTGTACCACATTTTTCACCAGGAACCCTAGAAGAGAAGCTCACCCAGAAGAGGAGCCACCGAGAGGAGCACCATTGGCCCTCCTTCTTCAACCTGTTCTTCGTTTCTAAACTCTGTCTATTTCAATTCTCTGCAATTCTAAATACTCTTGTGATGTTGAATTCAACTATGTCTGAGTAATTTTCCAGTTGGATTTTTAAGGGATTTTTCAAAGGGAATTTCATGTCTTGATCTTATGCTTTATTCGATTTAGGGTTCAAAATATTCTAGGAATCATTCGTTCATTCTTGTTCCCTATGCTGTTTCTGTTGCTAACCGCTTAAAAATTGATCTTAGTAATTGGAGCCATGAGAGTGCTGTATCGAATTACCAGACCTAGAAGTGATCGAGCGAAATCGCTGTAGGAGACGAAAGCTACCTACAGAGAATCGCGAGCGTGGATGAATTCTGTTTTTACTGCATGATCTATTCACAGCATGAGAGCGAGAGTTAATTGCTGTGTTGAGTGATTAGATGATTAGGGTGACGAGAGTTGGCTAATCTTACATGTGTCTATTCGAGTTCGGGATCCTCACTAGTTGATTTCCTTTATCGATTTGTTTGTCTTTTGATCAGTTCATGAACCCCTGCGAAAACCCTTTAGACCCAGCGATTTGTTCCTATTGTTTTACAACCTCTTTTTTTCGATTTGCTCTTAGATTTAGTAATACCAAAACCAAAACCCCCATTTGCTTGTTCTACTAGTATTAAGTCTTGATTGATTCGTACTGAAAGCTCAAAATCTCTGTGTTTCGACCCTTAAGTACTACAGCGTACAGCTGTGCACTTGCAGATATTTAGTTATAAATTTAAAACGTGAAGCTAGAAGTAATCCTTGGTTCTCTTAGCATCAAGTTTTTGGCGCCATTGCCGGGGATTTTGATTCTTTTCGTTGCGACTCTCTGCTTAATTCGGTAGAAATTTTTCTAATTTTTGTTTTTCTTTGATTTTTCAGGTACTTTTTCGATGAGGGGTCAGGAACACATCCTTGATCCTCTCGCTGAAGAGGACCCTTTTCTGGATGGTGACCCATCAGATGATGAGCTTAATGACCCAATCGATGATGGCAATGAATCGATTGGAGAACCAGAGTATGCCAAGAAGGGAGAACAACTGATTGGAGAATGTGATACACACAAATTTTTCATAGATAGGCGAGCAATTTGACCACCTTTACCTAAGGATGGCGACTTTGAGGCTAAGGTACAATACATTAACTATATCAAAAAGTATAACGGTTTTTCTACTGAACACCCAATAGATCATATTGAAAATTTTGAAGAGCTGTGTTCAACCATAATGAAAAATACCGATTACCATATGTGTGTTCTTTTTCCATTCTCTCTAACTGGTAGAGCTAGTAAATGGCTTAAAACTTTGCCACTTGCGTCCTTAAAGACGTGGAAAGAGTGTAGAGAGGCTTTCCTAAGTCACTTTTACACCAGAGATCGTACCAATCTCTTAAGGGACAAGATCCCAAAATTTCAGCAGGAGGACACAGAAGACCTCTATGACGCCTGGGAAA